CATTTATCCAAATTTGTCAACTTTTTCTTATTTTCTTCTATCTCACCATCTTACATCACAACATCAAAATCACACATCTAATTATTTATCAATTTCATGAACATTACATTATTAATTATTTAATTAACCAAAAAAATTACATCTTTATTAATAACAAATTAATTCTTAAACAAAACTATTAAATATAAACTACGCAAACGTGCATTGCATGTTGCTTGCACCTAGCATTTAATAAAGCAAATTTATTTTGCCCCTGCTTGGTTTAGATAAAAATTATATTTTTAATAAATTTTTATCAAAGTTGATGAAATTTGTGGTTGAAAAATTATGAATCCACATTTAAAATTATTTTAAATATTTATTGATTGCGCCATATATTTCATAAAGCATATTTGTTTCACCCATGTTTGGTTTAATAAAAAATATTTTTTCAGCAAATTTTAAGAAAAGTTAATTTGAGGTTTAAAAGTTATGAATTCACTTGCAAAATTATTTTATTAAAAAACGTATTGATAGAAATGAGTTTGGGGAAAAAATAATTTTAAAAATTACGGTCCAAATAGGGGCTTCCTATAAAAATCACTACCTTCGTCATGTAAGGAGCACATGGTAATGCACATGAAGATACTATGATTTAAACTTTTAAATGCGCGGTTTCATATTAGGTTATACAATTATGGAAAATTTTGTTATCTATTATATAATATTGTGCATTCTTGATTCAATTCTACGTTTCAAATTTTTGTATATAATTGTTTTTATTCGTTAGGCACTAAATATTATATACAGGAAATGCGCGAATTGACCTTTCATCGTGCCTGTGCTTGAATGTCTTGAGGAGGAACTAATAAAAGTCCAATAGACCTTTTTTTTGGTTAACGCATCATTACGAGCGCCCACACCTGCCCACCCTTAGGCCTTGGTGCTTGGGGTTAATCGCGGGATATGCCTGGATTGGTCAGTGTTTGTGTGCTTTTCCACTGGCTTCCATTGAGGTTCTCCTCCTTAGGATTCGAACCCCACACCAATGTCCCTCAGCTATGTAGATTTTTACTTCCACCTCCTTTGCCAATCCAACTGTGCCCGGGGGGCGTCTAATAGACCTATTTATAAGGTAGGTCAGTCTCATCATTAAGGATGAAAAAAAAACTCGTTAAATTCGAGACTCAGGGGTCTTGCCCGTTCTACCTAATCGGGTACAAAGGACAATGTTCCATTGCTTCAATAATATTAAATAAGATTTCATAATTCGTGTGAAAAACAAAATCAGCCCATATAAACGGAACGAATGAAATATTAAATTTTATTGTTGCTTAGTACCAATCATGTCATGTTATACACTAAAATTATAATACATTTCATGTATTAGATAATGTGTCAGTAATCTCATTGTCATGTAAATTAGTGCTAAGTACTAATAAAATTGAATAACATTATTTTTACTATAAATCGGCAAATATTTCCAATCAACCAACCATAGGTACCAAGTATGGTCTTGACGAAGACTAATTGTATCACTTCTAATGATTGGATTCCTCCGGTCATGTCACCATATTCTTGGATAGGGGTGGAAAACGAATTGAGCCACTTGCAAGCTCAACTCATTCCGACTCAATCCATGAATCATTCGTGAGCCTGGTTAGGCTCGGCTCGTGTCAACACGAGTCAAACAGCTGAGGCTATCAATTAACTTGCCTTTTAAATATTTATTATAATGACAAAGAAGCAATCAATAATTACACACACAATGTCAATACGCGTTTCGTAAGTATCACTATAAACGCCATTATTAACAACATTATTTATGGGCGAAGTAATAGGAAAAAGTAAGAAAATGATGGTGGTTGACAATTAAAACCCATAAATCTCGCCGTTGCATAGTGTGGTCATTGATTGAATTCAACTTTTTCTTTCCAACATGCCACCAGCTTTTGATTTTCCCTTTTTTTTTTTAGCTTATTGGAATTAATTTGGATATTAGATTTATTAGAATTGATGCAAGCATTGAATTGGTAGAGCGAGAGGGGGTTGGTTGAGTAACATTGAATGATTTCAAGTGCCGAAGCATTTAAAATGACAGTTCACACTATATGGATAAAAATAATGTTATCTAGCACCAGTTTATTTGACATTATGTGATAGAGTAATGCTATTTGTAGTCGCTCACTGCAACAGTCGCCCTAATAAGTCGGTTTTATTAGATGGAATTAGGCCCAATATTTCTAACATGGTATCAGAGCTAGGCTCAATTATGCAATGTTGGGTGCCACCCAATATCGATTTGTTCACAGTTGTTTGGCATGGTCCACGCTGTGCGTGAGGGGGCGTATTAGAATCCCACATTGCTTGGGAAAATATAAATGATCCACTTAATAAGGTGAGGGCAATCCTCCCTTATAAATAATCCACTTAATAAGGTGGGGGTAATCCTCCCCTAATAAGCCGGTTTTATTTGGTGGATTTAGTGATGCATTAATGTGGCAATTTTTTACCACATTTAATGCATCAAATACACACTTGACATGTGTGTGCCACATAAGTTCAATTAAGAGTGAAATTATGTACTTCATTTAATTGAATCTATCATTTAATACTACCAGTGCTTTCACCTAAATTAGCATTAAGCACCAGTGGTACTAAATGACATTACTCTAAAGATGAATAATAGTAATTGTACTCGAAGTAACATCGATAACGTAGACTATATTAGAATTCCACATTGACTGGTGATATTTACACGATCATCTTAATAAGGTGAGGGCAATCCTCTCTTAACAAGTCGATTTTATTAGATTGAGTTAGGCCCAATATCCTTTCTAATATGGTATAAGAGCAGACTCAATTTTGCAATGTTAGATGCATACATGTTCACAATTGTTTGACATGGCACACGCTGTGTATGAGGGGGGCGTATTAGAGTCTCACGTTGGATGGTGATATTTACACGATCCACTTAATAAGATGAGGACAATCATCCCCTAACAAGCCAATTTTGTTAGGTTGAGTTAGACCTAATATCATTTCTAATAGACTACTCACCGTCAAATGTTTAAGTGGCCTTCTGGATTTTCTCGCTGCCACAACAACGCTTTCAAGTTGGTGATGGACGAAAGGAGGACCTATTTAGAATACCGAGCTTTGTAAGTTGCTCAAAGAGAACTTCTAAAAATAAAAATGGAGGAAGTTCGACATGACTATGGTCGAGATAGTAAATTAAGAAAGTGAAATATAAAAATGCATGGAAATGATAGTCTTGACAAGTTGTCGTGTATATCGAACATGACTATTTAATTTCTCCTCTTGTTACAAAATTCTTTGAAGTCTCTGATTCATTATCAACCGTGTCCATTTTATAAATTTGTTAAAGCTTAACCCCACATTGAAAACAAGTGGATCCATGGTGCAATGGTAGCACGTATGACTCCAGATCAGATGGTTGCATGTTTGATTCGCGTCATTTTATTTAACCCTCTTGTTTTGAGTTGGATCCTGAACTTGTATGTTAGTTTTCCCGAGTTTTTAAACCGAAGTTGGAAATTTTGTATCAACATTGTTGCAGTTAGGAAATGAAATTAAAATATTTATTGATTTCGACATATATTTCATAAAGTATATTTATTTTGCCCCTGCTTGGTTTAGATAAAAATTATATTTTTAATAAATTTTGATCAAAGTTGATGAAATTTGTGGTTAAAAAATTGTGAATCCACATTTAAAATTATTTTATTGAAATATTTATTGATTGCGCCATATATTTCATAAAGCATAT